TAATGCTCTTTTCAAAAGCTAAAAAGACACCAGAGACTGTTTTAGATATTGTTACTATGCAAGGACAAGTACTCAAAGTGGTTACCTGTTATAAATACCTTGGTATCTGGCTTGATGATTGTCTTACTTTTAAACTTCAGGTCATTAATCTGCTTGAAAAGCTGAGGGTTAGACTAGGTTTCTTTTTCAGAAACAAGTCCTGTTTCTTGCTTGAGGCCAGGAAAAGGCTAGTCACTGTGACCTTTGACCTGTGCTGGACTATGGTGATTTGATTTATATGAATGCACCTGCCAATTGCCTGGTCAAGTTAGATGCTGCGTATCACAGCGCACTGAGATTTGTCACAAATTGTAAAGCACTTACACATCACTGTACCCTGTATGCCAAGGCAGGTTTGCCATCACTTACCTGAAAGAGGCTCAGTCATTGGTACACGTTTATTTATAAAGCTTTGTTTGGTAAACTCTCGTATTATATCTGCTCTCTGATAACACAGAGAGTTGCAAGCAGCTATTGTCTGAGATCGCATGATGTAGTATTGTTAGATGTGCCAAGAGCAAGGACTGTCTTAGGTAAGACAGCTTTTATGTGCGCAGCTCCACTTGCTTGGAACAATCTTCAGCAAGAATTGAAACTGAGCAATCTCATTCCTCTGCATGTTTTTAAAGCTAGGCTAAATGAAATGCTCGTTGATACTATAGGCACTTGTAAATGTCTATAACTATGTAAATGTATCCTGTAAATATAATGTATGATGTCCTTTATTGTTTTATGTTTCATGTGGAACCTATGTATATGCTGCAGGTCTCCCTTGAAAAAGAGATCTATGATCTCAATGGGAACAATCTGGTTAAATAAAGGTTTGAAATGAAATGAAATGAAAATTTGATGGTAACAGTTGATATTCGCTGTTCAGAAAATTGTTGGGGTTAGAGATAATGTTGTTGGCTAGCCTCAATATGTTTTTTTATTTTCCTTGAACCTTTATTTAACCATGATAGGTCTCATGTTGTTATGCTAGGCTGATTCATAGAGTTTCTCAAAAGGTTGACCTACAATCTTGAGCAGATTTTCAACTGGTTGAGGAGTTCTGACTTGAAAGCGGTGGACAAACAATTGTCCGATGTAGTATTGCAGTACTGCACTAAATCACAGATTCTCAGCTCATGCATCAGGTCCGCAAACAAGAGGACTGATGTTTTCAGATTCTCCTTTATTTTGTCTGTCATACCCAGGTGGGTGATGGCAGTGGATCTGAAAATGTGTCCTCCTCTCCTGTGAGGAACATCCTGATGGCTGTGCAGAATGGTCTCTCGGAGCACCAGAACCAGACACAGGTCCATCAAAAGCAGCTGCTCTTTACTGCTCTTTCTTTATTGTAGAGGTTTTCTTTCTTTTCTTTCTTTTACATTTGTATTTTTTATTGTAGAGGTTTTCTTACAGTGGCTTCCAATCTGAGAGTGGAAACTCATATTAAATCCGAGGGTCATAACATGATTAAAGAAAATACAATAATATCAAAATTCATTATTTATCTTATATTTATATTTTTTTCTTGTAATATACTGTGTTCTTATACCTTTTCATTCTGTTGTTGAACAGTTCACCAAAGTCATAACTTGTAATGTAAGATTGAGATTAGATGAGAAAAATGTGTGAAGCAACTCTTTTCATGAGAATATGTAATACATATATAAGATAATATGTAACCACTTTCTGTACTAACACGCCACACATACATACAGGACCTGCGTGGGCGTCTGGAAGCGGCTCTGGACCAGGAGGAAACTCTGCGTGATCACCTGCAGGAGAGAGACGCTGAGAGGAAAGAGCTGGAGCAGAAGGTCCTGGAAGTGAGGAGGGAAAGTCAGGAGGCTAAGACCGCTCTGGATGAAAGCCTCAGAGACAGCAACAGATACCGCTGCTCAGTGGAGCTCCTCTCCAGGTACACCATTATCATGCTCTTACTACGCTTTTTCTTGAATGTGATGCAGCTTCAACAGTGATAAAAACAACTTGCAGTAATAATTATCACAATATTGCTTGGTTTTATGTTTTTGTAGGTAGAAAATATTCACTATTATCAGGGTTGAGTTAGATTACTTTGAAATGTGGACAGTTCTAGGTGACATTGATATTTACGTATTTAGTTACATTATTGGATTACAAAAAATATGCAATCTTATCTTGGTACTCCTTCACCTTTACTTTTACAAAAAGAAAAGAAAATGAAGCCAACTATACCATCTTTTTCATTTTTGCAACATTTCCAATGCATATAAAATACATTGGCACATTCAACATTTACAGTTGGACAAATCAAATGACCCTTACCAGGTGACATTAGTACTGGCTCAAACCACCCGAATAAAATTGCATACGTTTTCAAATGTAATCTGGGTTGATTAATTCCTTATATTTTGTAATCTGATTATGTTTTCCCTAATCATACCAGATTATTAATTGAAATAATAATAAAAGAAAGCATCTCCAAAAGCAATATTTATACTGAAAGTGGATTTGTTGATATTGTTTTGAAATGTTATTATTAAGAAGATGCTCATTGTGCAACAACTAACCTCAACATACTCTTTGTCTCTCTTTGTCCCTTCCTCACAACCTCGGGGTATCACAGTGAGAAGCGCAGCCTGGAGAATCTGCTCTCTGGGCTGCAGCAGGAGGTTGACTCCCAGCATGCCACGCTGGAGGTACTGCGAGGCTCAACGCTGGAGCTCCAGAGACAGCACGACCTCCTGAGGCAGCAGAGGGAGGATCTGGAGATGCAGCTGGCACGCCAGCGCACGGAGGCCCAAAGAGGGTACAGCACGGGCGGGGGGGAATGGCAGTTACACAACACGCATCCCCGTCACCCACGATTGTTTTCAAGATCCTTTGTTTACATTTTAGATCAGTAACACATGTCATTTTCCGACCAGCATTGCACCCAGATGACATTTGGATGAAAATGTAAATGATTTACATTGCATTACTGAACTCATGCAAGAGGGAAAGGCCTTTTTGCTTTAAAAAAATGTGATTAGCTGAGAATTGGAGAAGGACATGCGATACAGCAAAAACTCCCTCAGTGTTCTGGCTCCAACATTTCTCCATCTTTCAAAATGGAGATGTATTGCTGTTAAGGGACATTGTTTATATAAATAATTGGCCTGTGTGTGTGTTCGAGACAAGGAAACAATGTGAAAGAGTCATATATGTGTTACAGCGAGAGGAGTCTGGAGGAGCTGGAAGGGAAGCTGTCAGATGTGCGCAGGGAGCTGGTGACAGTGAAGGAGGCTCTGAGTCAAATGACCCTGCAGAAGGAAGTGTTGGAGGATGATAAGGCCAGCCTGGCTCTGGCTCTCAGCAAGGTACACTGCTTTGTTCTACACCAGGTAGCCTTATCTGTATTACTTGTTTCTAATATTTATGATTCACTCCGCAGATGGAGTCCCAGTGTGCCGCACATGAGTTAGTACTCACCAAACTCAAGAATCAGGAGGCTGCCGTTAAAGATTCTCTGGCCAAAATGGCTGCCCTGAGTGAAGGGTTAGCCAAAGACAAGGTGGAACTCAATCGAATTCTGCTGCAGGTGATTAGCCATCAGTGGTTAGGGATATATTCAGGTCCTCTCAGTGAAAGTACCAATAACACAGCTACACTAGAAGTACAAGTCCTCCATTTTAAAGCTTACTAGTAGAAGTATTTCAATATTATCAATAGAATGTACTTAAAGTACTTAATGTAAAAGTATAATGGTCCCTTTCAGTATTTTACTATTATGTATGACATTTTTCGACTTATATACTGTAACTGCTGCATTAATGTATTTACTGCTTTTTACAGCTGTAGATGTAGAATCGGAGGATGAAACCCTCTTTATTGATCACACATACATGCACAAAGCACACACACTTGCTTTGCTCAAGGGCACCACGGCAGGGCCCAGGAGGTGAACTGGGACCTCTCCAAATAGCAGTCCACACTCCATATTTTAAGTCTGTTCAGGAATTACCAGCGACCCTACAGCTCACAGTCCAGGCCCCGACTGACTGAGCCACTGCCAGAATTTAAACGTCATCTTGTTATACAACTGGGTATTTTATGAGTACATATTATATTTCAATGGAAGCTATGCAGATGCCCTTTTACATTGATGGAAGGGCAGAGTTCAACCGAACAGAAATGAAAAATTGTAGTTTACCTTCCAGACAGAAGGGGAGAAGACGCAGCTTGATGAACGCAGAAGGGAAGCTGAAACGGAGAGAGCAGCAGCGAGGGAGGAGACGGCACGGGTGCAGCAGGAGATAATGAATCTGCTCGCTGAGAAACAAGCCCTGGAGAGCTCCCACAGCCACATGCAGGATCTCTGCCAGAAGCTGGAAGCAGAGCTGAGCCTGCTGCAGAAGGAGAGCGCTCAGGCCCAGGAGCAGCACTCACAGGTCAGAGACACACTGCAGCCTCCATCCTTCCAACTCCCACCACCTGGGAGAACTATGCTGATGTTATTAATAGCTTTCAGCAGGTTAATGGAGCTTGTTGTCACATAAAATGTATCGGATGAGCTGAACACATCTGCTTAGGCTTTTTGTTTCAAATAGGATATGGAGAGCAGTTTTAGCCCCACTCTGTGTTTTATGAGTAACTTGGGACATAACAAGCAAGAGATGTTCATGAGCAAATGAACTGGAAAAGATAAATAGATAGACATATAATATCCTGTGGGGGTTAGTGATAAATTAACACCTAAAGTATTCCCATCCTTCCCTCAGCAGATCCAGATTTCCGCATTTCATCCCCTAAAGAATGAAAAAAATCCTCTCCTGTTCTTTTATCTGTTCTGAATGTAACACTGGGGTATTCACGCTGATCTCGGCTAGAATATAACAAACCTAAACAATTTGACAAATTCCATGCAAACATTTTAAAATAGCTTCTCTGTAAAAATAAATCAGCTGAGTATGAAACGAGCCCTGGAGTTGCTTTCATTGCTCCAAGCTTATGTTTCATCCCCTTATCGGGCAATACTCACATCCAGACCATTAGTCTTCTTCATCCACTGCAATATTTAGCTAAGGAGAGGCTCAAATCCATTATATGCTAATATTAAGTTAGGGTGGGTTTGGCTGGAAATCAAAATGCAGGGATTGTTGATTTTCAATCATTTGTTACAATGATTGACAAATATTAGTAGATATAACAGTTTAAATTAAACACTTCAATATTCTTTCAGGATATACTGTCCCAAATGTGCAATATGTGAACAGGGCCTATTCAGAAGAAAACAACAAATGGATTTGCATGAGGAACTACAACATAATGTACAGATGAAGGAATTCTCCACATGCCCCGCTGTTGCAGCTCCTCACTGTGGTGTGATGAGGAGAACAACTTTTTTTTCTGTGTTTTTGTGCCGTTCATTTACCACTTTAATCTCTGAGAATATCGTATTTCTTTTCCCTGAAAATGTACTCGTTTTTCGTGGAATAAACATTTTCCCAGTAGTTTTCTTGCTCGATATAGGTCCTGTTAAGTGTTAACTGAATAAAAATCACATCACCAATAATTTTTGTTTTGCTTCGGGGCGATGCATTTGTTATGGCCCCGCAGTCCTGTACACTGAATGGCCTAAAGTTTGTTTAATTTATGCCTCATAAGCAAAAAGAGGGGTATGTAGAGTTCAATGTTAGAACAGAAAATGGCTGCATTGCATTTAGAGGTTGGGTGGTTCACACTCAGTCTAACTGTGTTCCATGTTCCTGCTCATACTCCCACTTGTGAAACATTGTTCCACAGGCAAAACAGTATATGAAGCGTGTTTACTCTAGTTTTAATGCCTATGATAATTTACCGTGGAGTCTTTATATTGTCAGCTTATAGCAGGAAGAATAAAAAAATGACTTGATAGTGTTTTTTATTTGTGTTTGTGTGTCTCCAGGTCAACTGGCAGATGCAGGATGTGTGTGAGGAGCTGTGTGCGTGCAGGAAGGAGCTGCAGACACAGACCACAGTCCTGAGGAGAGCCAGCCATGACAGGGAGGAGCTGGCCAAGGACAGGGCGGCTCTGGACGCCAGGCTCAACTCTGCTGACCGAAAGGCCTGTGGTATTGCCCAGGAGATGGCTGCACTTAGGTCCGTGTGTTTGCGTTTGTGTGTTTGTTTGTGTGGTCTGACCTCTAAAATGTTTGGAACCCTTTTCAGATTGAAAACCAGTTTTCCCAGTCTGCTTTCTGCTGTTGCCTTCAGCACAAGCTATAGAAAAATAGTTCTGTGTTTGTTGGTTAAGGTCAAGGTCATGGTTGGGGTAAGGCACGCATCCGTTATGGTTATGGTTATGGTTAGGACTTAAAGGAATGTATGCAAGTCAGTAAATCTCCTCAAAAGCATCATAAACAACCCAATGTGTGTGTGTGTGTGTGTGTGTGTGTGTGTGTGTGTGTGTGTGTGTGTGTGTGTGTGTGTGTGTGTGTGTGTGTGTGTGTGTGTGTGTGTGTGTGTGTGTGTCAAATGCACATTTTTGTTTTAAGAAATAGTTCTCATTTTTGGAAGCAGGTTTTTTGTGATGTACGTATTCAGGTTCAGTGTATTTATCTATAGTTTCTTCAAAGCCACATCAGTTTTTTGGACAAAAATACAGAAATGTTACTTTGCTGAACAAGGTAGTTGATTGTATACCTCTCCTTCAAATGCTTATTTGACCTTTTAACCTGTTAAGCCCCGTAGCCCCCGCTTTCACGAAACTGTGTCTCAGGGCTTCTTAACATTTAACAACCTATTAATGTGTCATACCCACTTAATGGGAAGCAACTCAGCTACCTGACGATATGAACCATTTTTATCGAAACAAAACACAAGTCTAACGCCGAGCCTCTGAATGAGCACTAAGCGAAAGAGTGCTAACGCACTTAGCATATAACTCACGGTAGAAATATGTTATACTTCATCGGATCTGCACAAACAAGATATCATATGAAAGCTGAGATTCCACAGATTCCAATGGTATAAGTATCATCACTAAGCGACC